GGGGGGGGGGGGGGGGGGGGGGGGGGGGGGGGGGGGGGGGGGGGGGGGGGGGGGGGGGGGGGGGGGGGGGGGGGGGGGGGGGCGAGGGGCTGCGCTTAAGCCCGCTCATAAGCATGGGGATAGTGTAGCAGCCGTAGAAGATTCCAAGTCGTTAAGGTAGAGGGGAATGTAGACGGGTGCCGAACGTGTTGATGTAGCTGAACGGAAGCTGGTGCTGGTGTTGTTGTTGTGTTGCATTGACAACCGTTCCGGTCTCCGCTCGAAATAAGAAAACCGCACGTACCCGTTGGACGCTTGCAGGAACACATGCAACAGGGAGAGACGTATCGAAACTAAGGCACCACCTAAGATACCCCGAGGCGTGCATCAGTGTAGGTATCTATGTTGTACGATCGCCGAGACCTGCGGAACAGTTAATGTACCATACAACTGTTAGCACACTCGCCCCGCGGAGCCCAAAGTATACACACGTTCGTGTACTGTTCCCGAAGAGCCAATAATCCACGCGTTCTCCGTTTCTTCCGAAAATTCTTGAAATCGGTCAACCGCAATATTCCAGATCGTGTGCAGTCTGGTGTTGTTTGAGAAATTGAGCCTAAAAAAAATCAATGTTTTAGAACTTGAGCACAATTTGTGAGCTCGGTTATGAACCCCTGCACTAAAACCCATGTGGCGACCTTTTCGTAGCATGACCCTAGGAATACAGTAACAACCCCACCCTCGGCCGAACCTATTGTAGAGGTTGTAAAGTTGTGAGGCGTTCTGTAATACGGGCAATTCGTGCTGTACAGATTCTCCCGTTTTTTTCTGTCACCGCAGCAAACTTAACATACAATAGTAGCGGCATGTAGCTCGATAGCCTTCGGTTCTTCGTTTCGCATGGCATACTGATGCCCCTCCCCCCCTCTAGCGGCCATGTGCGAGTTCCAGAGAACCTTAAGCTCATTTTTCTTCCTCCGCCTAACCTGGCTCTTTCACTTCACCCCTCCCCCCCTGCCACACGCGTGTGCGTTGCTTTTGGCGGGATCACAGAGGCCCTGCTCCGCTCCGGGCAGCGAGCTTCCGACATCTTCGACCCCTCCACTATCAACCTCGCCCCAGTCCCTGACATGTACCAGGCCTTCATGAGCACGCTGGTCAAACCCGCCCCGCTCCAGCAGCAGCAGCGCCGAATGGGCCGTGCGCCTTTTGACAACACCTTTGCAGGAGGTGCTGGCAGCAATCCGTCAAAGGGGAGGGGGAGGGGGCACCGCCGTGGAGACAAGGGCCTGGTGACTCCCTCCGCTGTGGTTGAAGAGGGGCTGCTATCGATGCTTGTGACGAAGCTCAAGGCGTAGTTTGGTGGGGGAGACGTGGAAGAATGATGACCCCCCCCTCCCCCCCCCTCCCCCCCCCACACGTTCATGCTTCATATCAGTATCGAAACGTTAGTAATTCACGCGTTCAGAACCTCCCATTTTGCTTTGCCCGTGGGTTCAAGTTGTTCGACGAGTTTCCTCCAATTCTAAATGATTAACTTCTTTACTAGCATTGGCGCGTGCAGCTGAAGTCGGGCGGGGTGGTATGTGGCTGCTCTGCCGTACTTTCGGGTGTTCGCTTGTCTTGGAGTTCACAGCGGGAGGTGCTTCTGATAATGAATCATTAGATGCTGCGACGAAGTACAACCAAGAGGATGCCGAGGTCGAAAAGTCCGTTGTATCACGTCGTGGGCGCGAGCATGTTGGATGTTTAGGTTTCGTGTCCTGTCCGTTTTTGGTTCTGATTTTTCGCATGCTGTTCTTTGCCGTCGAGATTAAAGGCTTGCACGTCAGATTGGGAAAGTGGGAAAACGAGGGCGATGCCGGTGGTACACGTACTTTCTGCGTTTGGGCTGGTTGAATGATTCTTGGCGGCATTTTTCACGGGGCGCAGGACGGCGAAGGAATAGCAGAACGTCAACGCTGTTTTTTTTTGGCGATGCATGGCGAGTGAAGGATCGATTCGTCGCGTACAATCTCGGCCGGGAGACAAGGGATTATCCATCCATCCTCCATTCTTGCAAGTACGATGTTCTCGAAGACTATGAGTAAACGTTGTCATTCGCGAATGACACGTCGAGCTTTCCGACCTCATCTACAGTAGTACTGCTTGGAACTTAACTTTATTTTTTCGCGAAAAATACATGCCGTACACAGCAGTAGTTCGCTTTCTTGACACTCCTTTGTTTTTCTTCACGCATTTCTTTTTCTGTTTCCCTGAACACAAGGTCCGTTTCTCTGAATAAAGGGCCTACCGTGCAGTACACAGCTGTAGGAGCGTAGGAGCGACCAACAGGCGTGTAGAAACAGTTACAGTTGACGGCGGAAGGCGGCGCGCTCCCTCGGTGTTGCTGTACATGATCCGTTTCCCCGAGTTCGGTATTTTATATACTTCGAAGTATATTTTTTCGTCTTCACTTCAAATCAGCATTCACAGCACTGGTGCCGTTTGCTCCAACCCGTGGTCACACAAGAACCCCTCTCTACCCTCCCCTCCTGCGGTACTTTGCCTTCGATTTTTAGTGCGAGAAGAGTTCAGCGCTCTCTTCCCTCTTTGTACACACGAAATAATAGCGCTATCCAGTAGGCCAGGAGCGGAAGCGAGAGAAAAGCTCATTTTGCAAGAAGAGCTCGCTTCCGACTAGACCACTGGCGCGATCGCGTTTAGTATATAGTCTACCCCGTTCAAATATGGGTATATCTCGAACGGATAGCGTTTCCGTGTGTGTAGTCTAGACTAATCATTTTTCAACAACAACAATGTGAGTGTGCTTGTCTCACAAATCTGCAGTGGTATGTGTGTAGGGTAGACTGCTCTTTGGCTCTAATCGCCTACAGCTGTAGCTCTAAGGTGTTGAGGTGCCCACAACCCCAACGACGGAGTCATGTTGGATAGCTCTATGCTTCTATGTCTTTAGATTTTAATCTAGGTCACCATATACTTCTCACCCTCGTTGGTATCTGTTGGTGTCCTTCTAACTTTTTCTCCAGGAATGACCTTGGAACACATCACACACGAATCTCAGGAGGGGGTCCAACCCCCCCTTCCTATGTGACCCCGGTTGGGTCGTCTAGCTGGTAGAAGTGGGGATAGGGGCCAGAGGGGCAGACGACAGATTCCAATGATGGGAGAAAAACAAAACAAAACAAAAACACGGATATGAGAGCTCACACCGAAAAGGTACATATTTACATCCAGTGGGGGCCCCGGTTTAGCGACCCCCTGTCTAGCGACACGCCCAAATCTCGTGACACCGCTGCACCCCGGTTTTGCGACCATGTGGTCCCTGACCCGGTCGAAGCTTCAATAGCGACTTATTGGACTGTTTTCATCAGGCAACAGCGACCATCGTTTCAATTTTTGCGGAGACCCCGCGTTCCTCCACACCCACAGACACAACATCGCGGGACACGTATACACACACAACATGCCGTGCGCCGATGGTAGAGTTGCGCAAACAGCCTGGTGTTGAACTGCGGGCATCCCAGGGGCATGTGTGCCATGGTGGTTGTTGGAGTAATTGCAGTCCAAGAACGACTCTATTCTACTGCATGGGTTTATGCGGTATTGTGAAGGCGTTGCCAAGTCTGTAACCGTCAGGTGAAGACAGCTTGGGCGTCTGTGTGGATAAAAAGATCACTTTGTGTGTTTGCCTACCTAACCTCGCATCACATGCCAGCTACTTTGTAGCCACAGCTAAAGGAATAGCTGTACAGCAACTGTAGTGACAGTGCTGTTGCCTCAACAGGTTTTGAGCCTCGAGTTGCTCGAGCTAGTACACCAGAGTCACAAGAGTCGGTAAGCATGGCTACCGGCTCGTCAGGCGAGATCCGGAGAGGATTCGCCAAGTTCAGCGGTGACCCAGGCGACTACGTCGGCTGGCGAACCCTGCAGACCTCCTTGTTTATGGAGGACAAGCTGCACAAGGTTCTGTTGGGAGTGGAGAAAGCCCTTTCGGATCCCGGACCTAGTGCTACGCCGGACCAGACTTCGGGATACCAATCTGCCCTGGAAGGATACCAGGACAAAAACGGACAGATCTTTACACGGCTTATGCTCGCCACATCTGAAACCGGGGGCTACCAGAGCGCGGCCTCGCAGACTGTGCAGGCATACGCGCCTATCGGGTCTTCCTACAACGGAGACGGTCGTGGAGCCTTCCTCGCCCTGGAACGAAAGTACCAGACCGCTGGGGTATACCGTTCGCAGGAGCTGCACGAGAAGTTCATATCTTTGGCAGCTACTGCGGACCACGACTTTGACCCGGCCAATGTTATTCAAGACATGCGCCGGATCTGCACGGAGCTCGCCGTGTATAACGACACTGTGGCTGACCACCGAAAGACGTTCGCTTTCCTTAAAGCACTGCCGGACGACTACTACAAAGAGTTCAAGACAGGACTGCTGTGCGGCCAAGCTGCTGGGATCGTCTTGTCTTTTGAGGAGGTCGCCGACCGAGCCACTTCGTTCCACGCGATGCACATTCGTCGTAAAATTGCGTCGAAGAACTTATCAGGAAGCAGCAGCCATGCGCTGAATACCGTCACACACGGCGGAGCGCGTTCTTTCCGTAAGGGCGGCGGTCATCATGGCCGTGGACGCGCGCAGCGCGGTGGACGAGGACGTGGCAGCTGGAACAACTCGTCGAACCGTAACAACGGGTCCACGAGGGGGAACAACAGNGCGGTGGACGAGGACGTGGCAGCTGGAACAACTCGTCGAACCGTAACAAAGGGTCGTCGAGGGGGAACAATAGTAACGACCAGAACCATGGCGGCGCAACTTCTGGCAACGGAGCTGGAGGTGCGTC